AAGGCGAACCCGGCGACATCGGCGAACCGGTCAGTGCCCCCCACCCCTCCGCCCCCCCCCCCATTCACCACCCACCCGCCCCCCACCAGACCCATGACCGCGTTCCTTGTCGGAGCAGGGCCCGCGTGGACTGCGGGGCCAGATGGGGATGCCGGGACGAGAAGGTCGACGGGGGAGAGCAGGCCGAGACGGGGAACGAGGACTCAGCGGACCGCCTGGCACCAAGGGCGAACAAGGCTTCCCGGGTTTGCCAGGTCAGTCTCTCTCTCTTTCTCTCGCAACTCCTCGTCTGGTATGTGCATGCATTAAGCCCAGAAGAGAGGTACGACGTGAACTGAACCCCTTCCGCACCCGAGTTGGAAACGGTGATGGGCCGAGCCGCTGACAGAGGGGATGGTTCACATTTTTTTCCTGCGTCCGCACGGCAAGGATACGTAATCATCCCATGCATGATGCGAGAAAATCGGTCCCATAACCGCACTGAAACGAAATCTAATCATCGACGAAACATCATTCCGTTCGTACGACACAAAACGCGTGGAAATTTCCGGGAAAGCGGCTTCACTCCGAACTCTCCATCGATGCAACATTCGGCCCCACCAAATGTCGCATCGAAGGCCCCAACCGAACTCTTCTCGGCTCGTCGACCGCCTGCAACCGCGATCACGCGCCTGCGTCCTCCACCCCCCAGGTCTGCCGGGAGAGAAGGGAGAGAGGGGCGAGGTCGGGAAGGCAGGGGAGCAGGGGCTGCCGGGGCACGACGGCACCCCGGGGGAGCAAGGCCCCGTCGGCGTCCCCGGTCTCCCGGGAGAGATGGTCTGTCCCTTTCACTCGAGTTCCGTCGAACGACTCTTGAGTCTCCCCTTCGGGAGACTCGAACCTCAGTGGAACCACAACGCCATCTAGGGATGCAAATTTAAATCGAAACCGACCGATTTTCCCAGGGTGCACGTGGATTCCCAGGCCCTCGCGGCTTCCCAGGACTACCAGGACCCCCAGGAATCCCCGGAACGGAAGGAGCGGAAGGGGCGAAAGGCGACCAGGGACCTCAAGGCCAGCCGGGCCCGGCGGGCACCTCGGGGCCTCCGGGGAGCATCGGGCCGCCTGGTCCCCAGGGGCCGATGGGACCGATCGGACCCCCCGTGAGGACGAAACTCCTTTTCGCAACGAATCGCAGCCATTTTTTATCGCATAACTGGCGGAATGGGGAAGCAGAAACTCGGAAGCGTCTTCGATTTCTCGATCGAATCGAACTTCATTCTCACGCCGTTTCTCACAATCACGGCGATCATCGCTTAGTACGATGTGGCAACCGCGAAATCATATCGGTCATGGAATGACAATGCTAAAACAATTCCTCGAAAACGTGAATTAATTCACAATTCTCACTCCTCGACAAACGTGTTCGGGAAAAAAAGAAGAACCCTTTAATGCACGACGAAGCAGATACGCCACATACCAAATAAACATTCTCAGAACGCGCAGGTAGCGAGCCCCCGAGGTATTGATAAATCCGTTCGTAGCAGATGCGAAACAGTCCGGTCCTTATGCCTAGCAACCATGCGGTCGCTAGGTGCCATACACTCCTGGTGGCAAGCAGATTCCAACCAATCTGGCTCCGTCGTATGGCAGATTGACGTTTTTGGTTCAATTTTCTTAAACTTGACGCTTATCCAGGGCCCAGGCTCATCCATATTTTTTACATTTTATTTTGTATCGAGGTACGTACAAATGCTGACGGACCGACTGAGCTCTCCATGCAGCGTGGGTTAGAAAGCTGAAAATGCTGTTTGTAGCAAATGAGCAGCAATAACATTTTCGGGCCCACTGCTTACAAATTTGATTTAAATTTTTTCCCACTTGATCCGTGTTCTCGGACACGAGTGAAACCTGCCACATTTTTTCAGCCGAAAAATAAAAAAAAATCATGCACTAAAGGGTCAAGTTCAATGCTCTAATATTCGACAAGAATCTGTCCGTCCCCATTTCGAATTCCATTTCATTTTGTGCAAACAAAAATTTTTGGCACCGCTAAGGATGCCAATATTCCTGAGTTCAACGGGGGAACATTACTGCAGAACTAATGGGCAGCAATCAGCATCGAGGACTGAAAAGGTGACTCGATTTGAAACGGATTCACGAAGACATTTTCCTCACAGACAGGTTCGGGCTAGCGATCGCGGGGCACTGAATCAGCCGATGAGGTCATAATGCCTCGTGACGTCACCAGCGTTATGGTGTTCGCGATTCTTGTCGCCGAATTTTCCGGTCTGATTCAGAGTTGGTCGGTCTGGTGTTCAAATAATTTTTTTTTGGTTTTTAATAAATAAAAAAATTACTTTTAAATTCTTAAATGAGCAAAATTCGAGCCATATTCCACTTGCGAATAAACTCTTTTAGATATTGTAATATTCATTCGGTTTTGGGGCCAGAATTTGGGGGAGGGGAATGGTATAAACAATTTTGGGTTGGCCAACTGTGATTGACACATTACCGTGCTCCACTCTACTCACTTCAGTTCCTTCCATTATAGGGTCCGATTGGGAAACCGGGCCTACCAGGATTGCCAGGAGCAGACGGTCTTCCTGGGCATCCCGGGAATCAAGGAATACCAGGAGCCAAGGGAGATACAGGGCCGATGGGTCCTCAGGTATGTCATTCCATCCATTTTTGCACTCCATCCACCCTTGCACTTCACTGTTAAGTCGAACGGTCACTGCGACGTCGTCGTGTCTGCAGGGCCCGTTGGGATTTCCTGGACCGAGGGGACCGAAGGGAGATCAAGGCAACAGAGGGCCGGTGGGCGAGAAAGGCGACAAGGGAACCATGGGCGTCGAGGGGGAGAAGGGAGACATGGGACCCAAAGGAGATCGGGGGCCGCAAGGTCCTGAGGGCATTGCTGGGGCCGAGGGACCCGAGGGTGCAAAGGTCGTGTCGCCGAGGGGATTCTCGCGGGATCGGGGCCGGCGAGGAACGGTTGTGCAATGTCAACCTGGGATTGCAGGGGTTCGAGGGTCCGAGAGGAGAAGCGGGTTCGAGGGGTCCCTCCGGAGAGAAAGGGAAGCTGGGGATCCCTGGGTTCCCGGGGTATCCGGGAGCACCGGGAGAGAAGGGGGACAAGGGGACACCCGGCAAGCCAGGTCAAAAGGGAGAGAAAGGAGACAGAGTGAGTCCTCGCTCGCGCCCGTCTTCTCCGAGGGTTTTCCTCTCGCTGACTCCTTCGCGGTCTGTTCCAGGGTGACACGGGGCTCGCGGGAGAGAGAGGAGAGATGGGACCGAGGGTGAGTCCTGCGTTCCGCCTCCAGCCGGACGCGGTGGTTGCGACTGCTCTCTCACCTTCCCTTTTCTTCGCAGGGATTCCGGGGCAGCCGAGGGCGGAGAGGGCGAGCAGGAGACGTCGGGCCCAAAGTGAGGGGGGCCGAGGGGGGGGGGGGGGGGGGGGGGGGGGG